CAACCCCATGCACAACAGGACCAGACTGTTGCAAACCATAGTTTCATTGGGTGATTTTTCAGAAGTAGATCACCAGGCCTTTATTCCTAATCTGTCTTAAGTCTGGAAGCTCTACCGAATTCTGTTCAGCATCACATTAACATATGCGCCTCCAGTGACAGATAGCTGGTGGCTGTGCTTGAGGTACACTGGTAGAGAACTGAACCTGGGTCTCTCCCATGGAAGGCAAGAATTCTCCCACTGAACCACCGTCTCCTATTTCTACGCTGTTGCTGTTGTGTGCCATCTAGCTGATACTGACTCACAGTGACCATATAAGACAGAACTGCCTCATAGGACTTCCTAAACTGTAATCTCAACATAGCATATACAAGATCCTTAATGATCTGAAGATTCATTACCAACATACAACAATCTTGCTTGCTAAGTGAAGAAGACCTGAAGCACTTACTAATGAAGATCAAAGTCTACAGCTTTCAGTATGGATTACACCTCAATATAAAGAAAACAAAAATCCTTATAACTGTATCAATAACATCATCATGATAAATGGAGAAAAGATTGAAGTTGTCAAGGATTTCATGTTACTTGGATCCACAACCAACACCAATGGAAGCAGCAGTCAAGAAATCAAACGAGATACTGCATTGAGTGCACATGCTGCAAAAGAACTCTTTAAAGTGTTTAAGAGCAAAGATACCACTTTGAAGACTAAGGTGCACTTGACCCAAGCTATGGTATTTTCAATAGCCTCATATGCATGTGAGAGCTGGAAAATGAATAAGGAAGACCACAGAAAAACTGATGCACTTGAATTGTGTTGGAGAAGAATACTGAATGTACTACGGACTGCTAGAAGAACAAATAAATTTGTCTTGGAGGAAATACAGTTGCAGTGCTCTGTGAGAGCATGAGTGAGAATGGCCAGATTTTGTCTCATACTTGGGTCATGTTGTCAGAAGAAGTCAGTTCCTGAAGAAGGATAGTATGCTTGTTAAACAGAGTCAGTGAAAAAGACCCTTAACAAGATGGATTGACACAGTGGCTGTGATGATTGTTAAGGACGGCACAGGACTGTGCAGTTTCGTTCTGGTGTACGTAAGGGTCGCTTTAAGTTGAAACTGCTTTGGTGGCACCTAACAACAATCTTAATGTGAGTAGATCACCAAGTCTTCTTCCTTGCGGACCCACCGACAGATTCAAACTGCCAACTTTCTGGTTAGCAGGCCAGTGCTTAAGGCTGTCATAATCAACAAATTAAGGATAAACTAATCTAATTAGCTGTGGTTAACTCAGGTGACTTTTAGGTTCTTTTTACGTATCTTGTACCTTTTAAAGGAGCTCTGGGGCGTAGTGCCTAAGGCATTTGACAGCTAACCAGAGGTTTGGCAGTTCAAACCCACCAGCCACTCCGTGGAAGGAAGACTGGGCAATCCACTTGTGTAAAGATTTACTGCCTCGGAAACCCAAAGGGGAGTTGCTATGAGTCAGAATTGACTCAGTGGAAGTGAATTTGGTTTTGGTTTGTACCTTTTAAATCTTTCATGAACACTGGTTTGTTTAAAAGGGCAAGATTTCTCACTGTGCTTATTAAATACTTTAAAGATAATGAGTCTCCATAAAATGTCTGTTGAATCAAACTCATTTCTGATTGACTTTCAACAAAATTTTATTAGGAGTATTAATATTTATTGAGAGGTTGTGTTTTGTGTATATTGACTTATTCAATCCTCACGACAACCCTATAAAGTATCTTTACTGCGCCCATTTTAAAGCCAAGGAAAAAGGTGCAGAAAAGTTAAACTTGCTTGAGATCAAATAGCTATTCACATTGCTTTCTGGTTCAAACTAGTTCAATTTTTTTAGTAATCTAAACAAATAGTAGTCTTGACTTTTTCATTCCTTTAATTAAAAAATTTCAAGAGACCTAATAGCCTCTTATGCTAACTGATAGCATAGTGCCTAAGGCACTTGACTGCTAACCAGAAGGCTGGCGTTTCAAACCTACCAGCCACTCCTCAGAAGGAAGGCTGAGCAATCTACTTCTGCTGATACCACCTTGGAAACCCAAGGAGGGGTCACTATGAGTCAGGTCTGACTCCATGGCACAAAACAACAACATGTTAACCAGGGACTGGGCAGTGTTTTGTTCGTTGTACACAAGGTCGCTGTGAATCAGAGATGACTTGATAGCACCTAACAACATGCTAACCAGAAGGCTGGCTGTTCCAACCCATCAGCCACTCCTTGGAAGGAAGACTGGGCAATTCATAACCATAGAGATACCGCCTTGGAAACCAGGAGTCACTATGAGTCAAAATCAACTTGATGGCAAGTGAGTTTTTTACAGCTGATGATATACTCATGTTGTTGTTGTTGTTATGTGCCGTCAAGTTGGACCCATAGCAACCCCTTCTTGGGTTTCCGAGGCAGTATCACTATGGAAGTAGATCGCCCCATCTTCCTTCCGAGGAGTGGCTGGTGGGTTTGAACCGCCAGCCTTCTGGTTAGCAGTCAAGTGCCTTAGCCACCATGCTACCAGAGCTCCTGATGATACTCATAGTGACCCTATATTTAGATCTAGACTCCAGATTTTGCGACTTAGATTTTTTTAGTTTTTAAAGTTCCATGTCCTTTTCTTTTCTCATTTAAAGTGACTCTGCTCCCTACACAACTCTGTGCCCTCTAGACTCCAGATTTTGCGACTTAGTTTTTTAGGTTTTAAAGTTCCATATGTCCTTTTCTTTTCTCATTTAAAGTGACTCCACTCTCTACACAATTCTGTGCCCTTTCTGTATTAATAATTGAGTTTGTTATACACTCAGCAAATAGTGAAGGAAAAACTCTCCAAAGAGTAGCAAATTTTACACTAAAATCTAGTATGTGAATATGGTGCAGTGAGTTGCTCTTCTAGCCATGGTCTTTATGACTCCCATCAGATGACTGGGTGGGACTTAGCAAATATTAGGTGCTTGTAACCCAGCAAGGGGATTGGACAGCTTGATAATGAGGTACATGGAACACTTGTGGGGGTGAGATTGTGCAAATAAGATGTATGGAACCCTCATGTAGGCATCGGTCACTTCTGACATCTTACTAAGCATGAAATGAGCCATCCCAGAGGCATATAGGGGGGATCTCACTGCCATCAAGAAACAAGAACCAGGAGTAGAGTGCATCCTTGGACCCGTGATCCCTGTGCTGGACTTCCTCAACCCAGAGAGATGATGGCAGAGAGAAACAGCGGAGAGATGGTGGCAGCAGAACAAAGAGACTGGCACAAGACAGAGTTGTGGGCTTCTCAGCCCACAGAGTGAGAAAGCTAAGTGCTTTCAGGCAGGAAGCTTGGTGGCAGAATGGGGTGCCTCTTTGGGCACCTATCAGCAAATCTAAAAGAGCTTTGCAACACTGGCTGGAGCAGAGGCTGAGGCCAGAGAGAAGCATGCCTGTGGTATGAGTAAGAAACTGTCCTCATTGAATAACTGTATCCTGAGTTGTTTCTGGTCCTGAATTACAACCTGCTACTTTCCTAATGAACTCCATAATCTTGAGTACTGTCTGAGTTCTCTGTGGTAACTGCAATGAATTATCAAACCCAGTAGAGAAGTATAGAGTACTGTGGGACAGACAGTTGGTGTTAGATTGGCAAAAAGGTTGGAGACTGACATCATGTCTGACCTCTGCCTCACAGGAACCAATCTTAGGCTGTTGATGTTGCTCTGGATCCTCCTTCCCTCTCATGAAATTAGAGAAGGTCAGAAGATGCTGCCGTCACACCCTTTTTGCAGAGAAGAAAGGAAACAACAGGATTTTTAATCAAAGTAAGCAATAATGACAGGTTTATTTAAAATTTCCAGTAGAGAAAACCCACTAGTTTTGGAATAAAAGTACTTAACGTACTAGAGCATAAGTGAATATAAAAGATTAGCAGAAAGAAAATAAAACCAAACATAGTATAAAAAAAATTTAAAAACTTTGAAATGAATTTAAATAGGGCTGTTCTATAAATCCTCCAAATATTTAAGAGTTACTAGGTTTGGCAAATAATTCACTTGAAAATTAAAGCCTATTTCTGTAAACTCCGTAAAACCGCTTATTAAATTTAAACACTTCATACAATTGGTACTGAAACATATAGGCAGTCAATTTCAGAATAACAGGAATTATTCAATTGCTCTCAGTTATATGAATCAACCAGCTGCATAATTGCTTTCTGGATGGGGTGAGATAGAAGAATGCCAAAAAAAAAAAAAAAAAAAATGTATATGAACTGTTGAACGTATAACAAATTCACTTTGTAAACTTTCACCCAAATCACAATAAAAAAAAAAAAAAAAGTTAAAAGTTGGATTAAAAATAAAGAAACAGTTAAAATTCAGGCATCAGCTTGTTTCTTTAAAACAACAAACTGAAGTTTTACAGTATATTCTACATTTGCAGTTGTCATTTCCCTCCCCCCACCCCCTAAGATACTCCTAGATCCTCTAGTCTAATCATTTCTTAACTTTCAAATATTCTGTACATACATATTTAGCAAAGAGCATATGCCTAACATTATTCTGACAGCAGTATGGTCAGCATACAATTTTAGAAAAATTGCTATGTATATCATCAAGATTAACCTTTACTTTAAAAAAAAAAATAATCAAAAACCATTACTAAACAAATAGTTTTAAAATATTATGAAAACCCATAAAAAGAAGACTCAACATGGGCTTTAAACCTGATAAAACACACTTCAGAAAGACTAACCATTAATGCTAAACGTCTGCCAAATGATGACCTTCATGTGCCAAACACAAAAGAATCTCTTAGGATAATTTTTCCTACCAGATCATTTGTCTCTGACTTAGCCATCTCTCCTTTAGCTATATACAAAGTCCTGCTAAAAGTTTGCATTTTAGCTCATTTTACAATAGAATGTTGCAATCTAAACTAAACAGGTTCTTGATAGCAACAGTATATTACCAAGGGTTTTTTTTTCCTTTAAGTTTAATTTTTTAAAATTTCAAAATCCAACAGTTGGTCATGAGGTCAAGTATTATCAAGGCTCCTTTGTCAGTTCTTAATGGTGTCTGACTCATCCATCCTTCAAGTACATGCAAGGCTCAAGAGTTTTCAGGAGGCAGAAGCCTGAAGCCATTTAAGACACAGATGAAATGGGATTATGAGGCGAACCCATCTGAGTAAGAACTTTATCCAGCCACTGTAGAGGGCCGTGCAGATGTATCTCGATCCAGCAGGGGGTGCTAGTAACATCCTGGCGGTGGTATTCTGCTCCCCAGCCCTAGAAAAAACACATTGAAGGCCATTTAACTTGTTTAACTTAGTGGTTAAACTTAAGTAAAAATAGTTCACATTATCAGAGACTCCAATTAGTTATGAACCCTTCCCACAAGAAAAATGTGCAGGTGTGTGCACACACACATAAACACACAGTTTAGCAGGCATTTTGCAAGGTGTGTGTATTCATAGCTCCTCCAAGTCCATCCATGGATTCCAGATTAAGAATTCTTGGTCTTGGACAATCAAAGTTGGTAACATTATAAGGCTATTTTAATAAAGATAGTTTTAACTTTCATTTCCATCATCCATTATGTTACAGATAGTGACTTTTCCAAAGAGCTGGTAAGAACATCATTTCATGATCCAAATGTGTATTATCACATATTTTAACTAACAGAATTTGGATGTCTTTATATTTGATATGGTAATTCACTGTGATATTATTTATTTTCCTTGTAAAGCTATTATCAAATTCTCATTTCATCATCAAGAAAGTAAAGAAAAAGGTATGTTGTTGTTATGTGCTGTCGAGTCGGCCCCGACTCATAGCGACCCCTCCTTGGGTTTCCGAGGCAGTTATCACTCCGGAAGTAGGATTGCCCAACCTTCCTTCCGAGGAGTGGCTGGTGGGTTTGAACCGCCAGCCTTCTGGTTAGCAGTCAAGTGCCTTAGGCACTTCTGCTCCTTCCTGATTCAGCCAATGAGAGTCCTCCTGTGAACAAAAAGGCCTTGATATTTCAATCACCAAGCAAAATTGGCAGGAGTGCAGTAAGTATCAAAAAAGCTATTACTGACACAAAACCACTGTCCAGAAACAGTATAATTCATCATTCCTTTGCACAGCAGGGTAGTTTGCCAAACAGCTTCAGAATTAGTGAATCAGGATATCAAGGTTCCACAGAAGAAAGTTACTACACACAAGAAAAAAGTGATTTTGTTATCGCGAAGGCTCAAAAACTCAGTGACATGGGTGAACAATGGAATATGAAGTTCCGATAAACCTTTCTTTCATGAGGAATCCAAAGAAGATTGGGTTTTACGTATTTCTGCGATCTACCTACTCCAATAGTTTCAAGAAATCCATCTGAATGTCAGAACTTTCAGGAAAAAGTTGTGATATATGAACTACTATACACACACACACACCCATGCATCTGTACATATATCAACAAACTACTGTTTACTTTAAAGTTTATGTGCATGCTTCCTCTGCTAGATAGTAAAGTCTTTGAAGGCAACGATCAGATCTGATCTTTGAACTCCAACAATTAACACAGTGATGGGCACAAAGCAGGAGCTCTATAATACGTGTTCAGCTGAACTGAGGGGGATTTCTCAGATATGTGAGAGTGTAAGGTGCAACTAATTTATGTTTTATATTAAAGTCTAAATATTATCATCTCAAAAATCGAACAAGATAGGCTATTAACAGTCTGTCATTTCTCTAAAAGATGTTAAGAGAGTAAAGCATATGATCTTTATGATATTAAAGAATACTACAAAAGTGTGCAAATCCTCTGCTGCTAGTTTGTGATAAGCAGCTATCCTTTATCGTGTCAGAAGTTTTTAAAATGATTTGTTTATCCTTAACTTCTCTAATCCAGCTTTCCAGCTCTATCCATTAAATCATGTATAACCCTCCATTATATTAAAATTAAATGTATACGAGACTATAAGTTCTTGAAGTAATTTTAGGTGCCTTTTCATTTTTGTATTACTTCTCTGGGGTAAAAGAAAACCAAACCAAACTCACTGCCATCGAGTAGGATCCGACTCACAATGACCCCTCCTCGGGTTTCTGAGGCAGTATCACTACAGAAGTAGATTGCCCAACCTTCCTTCTGAGGAGTGGCTGGTGGATTTGAACTGCCAGCCTTATGGTTTTGTTGAGTAAATGAAATCTAATAAAAATTTGAATGTACACCCCTGCATCCTGAATACTTTTTATTAGTGTAAAGGTGTTTTTACTTGTCATATAAAGTAATTAAAATTGATCAAGTAATCAAGATGAAGATGAATCTGAGAAGAAAGTCCAACTGGAGCACTTGAGTTATAAATTCTTCTGGCGTGGTCCTTCAATAATGACAGATTCATTAGGGCACTTTAGTGACCATTACCATAGTTTCCAACCCCACCCCACTCTCACTAAGAGACATGATGAACATGAAGACCAGAGAAGAAGGCCTGTGTCTTAAGAACCCAGTTAAAATGGTAAAGCACAACTAGACCCTGGATATCTTGACCCCTAAGGCAGTATTTTTTCTCTACCCCAAACAAACAAACAAACAAAACAGACTTTTGGAAAGCCATTGCCCTCATTTTAAAATTCATTTTACCCAAATGCTTGGAAAAGTGAATGTTAATAGTGAATAAGAAGAGTCTTTATAGTTGCATATATATGTACACAGTCTAGAGGTCAAACTTGTTTACATAGTCCCCTAATATAGGAGCTCTGGTGGCGTAGTGCCTAAGGTATTTGACTGCTAACCAGAGGCTGGCAATCCAAACCCACCAGCCATTCTTCGGAAGGAAGGTGAAGCAATCTATTCCCATAGTGATACCACTTTGGAAACACACAGAGGGGTTGCTATGAGTCAGATCTGACTCGATGGCAGTGACTTTGGTTTCTTTTTTGGTTTTTAATACTAAAAAACCAAAAAAACCAAATTCATTGCCACAGAGCCACCAAGCTCCTTCCATAATTCTGAAGAGGTACCATATTCATCCACAAAGAACCACTGAATTGTATCTCAAGAAAATATAAGAACTCTCTGAAAATCTGCTATTATGATTCAGAGAAGTAGGGAAGAAATGATGCCCAGGAAAAGATACCTTTAATTTTAAGGATGATGAACCAAGGTTCCAACATTATCCTTAGTAATAAATGCATTACAAAACAGGTTTAAAAGGAGGCGGGGCAAGATGGCGGACTAGGCAGAAGGATTGCACAGACCCTCTTCAACAAAGAAAAGGGAAACCAATTCACACAGACACAGAAGATAATCTTGGACCCCTGAGCCTTGAAGGAAAGGATGCAGATTTGGACTAAACCCCAACTAGCAGAAGAATTTGCGTGAAA